CAATAATTGGACATTTTCCTTTTCTTTTTTTTTCTTTTTTTTGTAAGTGTTTTACTGCTCTCTCAACTATGAGCGCACAGTGCACATTAAACATTTCCAGTTGGGTAGAAATTTTTAAATTTTTGTCCGGGTGGCGGCAGGAAGCAGACGACAGAACATTGTTAGAGAGCAGGAAAGGAGGTGTAAGGAAGACATTTTAGAGAAGAAAAATTTCCGTTGCTATCCGGATTCGAACCCAGGACCTATTGAATGAGAAGTGAACACATTAACCGCTCGACCACGAAAGCCCTCCTTTCCACACCACACTAGTGTGCGCGGCGGGCCAAAGGCATAGATCTTTGTACGTGATGGCCGAGCGCGTCTTGACAGACAAGCTTCAAGCAGTATGCATGATACAGCTTTGCCTGGGCGCTAGACATTAGAATCTAGAGGAAGTAGATTGCCCAAGTACAACTTCCCTCATTTCTGATCTTGACTTCCTTGTTATGCTCCAAGAGAGAGACATCGTCAGTACGTTTGGAACCAAAGAAGAATATAAATGTGCGTCTTACTATCTTTATACACGATATACTTTAAAGACCCATAGAAAACATAACATCACAACTGAAAGAGCTGCGGAGCTTGTCTACCATAGAAAACTGCATCTCCCCTCGACGCTTAACGGCAACAGAGGATGAAAAAGTACAAAGTAAGTAAGTATACTTTAATGAACTACGATACATCTGACAGCACCCACCTGTGGGTAACTGTGTAGTTTCCAGAAGGTTCCACATGACAAACGATCCTGTCACAGGCGCCCGACGTGCTTGTCCATTCCTCCAAGTCACTGCGCTCAGCGCCCGTTGAGTCTACACAGGTGCCTGAAATAAAAATTAAAAAAAGAAGTAGATCTAGATCTAGGTCGAGTTTTTTACGCCACTATCGACACAATTTGTGAGGCAGCGTGGTGGAATCAGGCTCTCGTCAACATTATGAAAGTGAAGAAACTTGCATTTTTCCGCAGGTTTGTGAATTTTTATCGAATTTTTGTATTTTGGCTCAACACCTTTCTTGCCCATTAAAGAACTCAATTTCTGAGTGGATATTTTCTGGAAAAACGTTCGTTAAAGGCACAAGAAATGTAAATTTTCAGTTACCACGGACTCTGAAGCTAAGGAAATAACTAATCTTTGGAGGCCATTTTCTGACTAATTTTACCTCTGAAAACAGGTGACCCCCTCTTCCTTCTTTCGCAAATATCTTAGCCTGTATTCAAGACAAATGGACTTTTTTCATCCAAACAAAGACAAGTGAACAAGTTTTAAGATTATACCAATAACTCCACATGCCCAGAAATTGACGAGAGCCTGATTCCACCACGTGCCTCACATTTAGAGTATTTGGGAGGCGAGCTTCCGACTCTGCGTGTCAGGGCCAACCCGGACTGAAAGGGATACAACATCCCAGAAGAACGACAGAGGCATAAAATTGAATAATAATAACATACTCAATAAAGATTCTCCCCACTCGGGAATCGATGATAACACCAAGAGGAAATGATAACTTTACACCCATGGGAAGTGAAGACTTGTTGTATCAACAAAACTAATAGGAATTGATCTCTCATATTTTCGTAAATTTGTCCATAGATTTTTACGTTTGTTCTAAAACAAATTGGCAGCCGTCACATTTTCTTTAAATTTAACATTCAAAACTGACTTGAGCAAAATTCAAATTTTAATATTGATGCAACAAACGCTCAACGATCATAAATTTAAAATTCAAAACTAACATAGCAAAATGCAAATTTTAATATTGATGCAACAAACGCTCAACGATCAAAACTACAGCATCGGCAACAACAAAAGTTGCTTCAACAACAGCAATATCAAAACCAGCAACATCAGCAGCAACAATAACACAATTCAAAACAACCTTCAGCCACAACAATAAAAATTACAATAACAGCAACTATTGTCTTACTATCAACAGCAAAAACAATAACAAAACAAAACTATAGTTTTTTTTGTTTTTGGTGTTGTGAGCCGGTGGATTGTTCTTCTCCCATAGGCCAAATGTAGGCCTGGCTCGAGATCACAAGTAGCCGGAACTATAACAGTAGAATCACAATAGTCATAGGAGAAACCCCATGATGCGCACATTGTGTTGGGATGGAAAACCCCCCTCCCCCTCCCCCAAAATATACTCACACACACACACACACACACACACACACACACACACACACACACACACACACACACACACACACACACAAACACACACACAAACACACACACACACACACACACACACAAACTAAACCCAAACAAACAAACATAACAAAACAAAAGGTGTCAGTACGTATAGGTGAACATCAACTTCTAATCATTTTCCCGTTCACCTATTTGTCCTACCTGAGAGATATTCTTGCGACACAATCATGGGCTCTTGTGTGAAGAGAAGAGGGGCACTCCTCGCCGCTGGGGGCCATGGTACAACACCCAGACACAATGCACCGATGAAAGCAATGAAGAGAAGCTCCCACGAACACGAGTCTTTTCCTCCTTGTCGAGGCATTGTTTTCAGTTATGGTTTATCCTGTTGTAAGTGTGTGCACGGGTGTATCGCTATCGGCTCTGATCTAAATAAGTGAGATTACATCCTGAGGCTGTTGAAAGAATGGGAAAGAAAGGAAGGTATATTTTATTTTTATTCTATTCATTAAAAAAATAACAACAACAGCAAGAACAACAACAGCAACAGCAACATAAACAACAACAACAACAACAACAACAATAATAACAACAACAACAACAACAGCAACAACAACAACAACAACAACATCAACAACAATAGCACAAAAACAAATACTGCACTGCGAAAGAATGACAAACTTTTAAAAAAGAAGAAAATGAATGGATGAAAGAAAGAAAAAAAACATGATTGAATACATGAATGAATGGATGAACGAATGAATGAATACATTTATTGTTTGATTAAACGTTTCGAAGTTCAGCAAAGAAAAATTCTCCAAAGCGCACAAAAGTTTTTAAAAAGACAGGAAGAACAGTACAAAGTAAAGGAGCCAAAGGACATGGTGATTATACGGACAAAAAAAACTAACATGGGGGGGGGGGGGGGGGGGGGGGAAAAAACAAAGAGGCTAATGTGGTTGCGGAAACATAAAGCACGGAAAAAAGGGGAGGGAGTTTTTAGAGGGTGACAATGAGGAGGAGCGGTATTTACAACTAATCTTTTAATTTGTCATTTTCATTGCCAATAATGTATGATATTAACTGTTTCTTTACTTCTGTTGCCGTGGTTGAAGTTTTGTTTACATTGTTGACAGTCACATTTCTCTGATATGTTGTAGTTTTTTTTTACATTGTTGACAGTCACTTTTCTCTTCATTTTTAAAAGTCACTTTTGTCTGGTGTGTTGTAGTTTTATTTACATTTTAACAGTCACTTCTTTGATGTGTAATTGTAGTTAGTTATACATTGTTTACAGCCACATTTTTATGATGTGTTGCAGTTTTATTTACCTTTTTTAACACTCACTTTTCTCTTATGCGTCGTAGTTTTATTTCTTACATTCACATATGTCTCTGATGTGTTGTAGTTTTATTCTTATCTCTATCGGTCATATTTCTCTGATATGTTTCTCCAGTCATTTAGGAAAAGAATAGTCCAGAAAAGCAGGTTACTTTATTTATTGGTCCCGTCCAACATACTGTGAATTATCCGTTCAGTGGTGGAGACGAAAGGTGCCACTGGTGGTGATCCCGTCACGTCGCCACCTTCACTGCTGTAGCCTATTATAGTTCAATAGTGTGGTGGCGAAGGTATCTTAAACTCAATGTATTTATTTCTGTTTTTATTGAAATTTGAAATAGACTCAGTGTCAGCTTGTACCATATAATAATATATTAGCCTTCTTCTTCTTCTATCCCGTGGTTGGGGCAACC